CCCATCCGGTATCTCATCTCAAACACAAACCGCACCCCACCATTCTGAGTTCCCGGTCCGCAGGCCAGCACTTCAGCCAATTCCTCCTCTACTATCTGAATCCATCATGCCAAAGTAACCACCAAAGGGCAGCAGCTAGGCTCATCACCACCCCACCGTCCACAACCCACCCCCGATCATGCCCAGGCCCATCGTTACACCCACAACGCCCGACCGTCCCCATTCAACCTTCCCCAGCGTCGCCCCCGAAATAGCAGGGAACGTCGTCGCAAAAAACGCTGTCGGGTTCGGGCCGCCCTGCACCGTCACCGTCGGCGCATTTGATGCCAACTTCACAGTGGAGGGAGAGGAGGGTGTCGCGCCGGGTGCGAGGATGGTGAATTTCTCAGAGGTGGTGTGCATGATGCCGTGTGTGGAGTTGATGAAGATGAGGTAGTAGTCGTCGCCAGGGGGTACGTCGGAGAGTTGGATGTTGAGGTTGGCGGGTTTGACGGGGACTAGAGATCGGGAGTTGGATTCAGATTTGAGTTTTGGGTTGGAAGAGGAAAGAGATTGAATATTGATGACGAACCGTTCTTTGCGATGAGTGTTAACCCATCTGTGCCCATTCTTGCCATCTCCAAATCGAAGCCGTTGATACCGTCCAACAATGATTTTCGCCATGTAATAACGTTGGCAGCATTGTTAACCCATTGAGTTTGTTTATTAGGTTCTTGGACGACGAAAAAGTTGGCTATGATAAGAACATGCCGAGTGATGATTGTCAAGATAAAAATAAATGGAAAGCGGAGGTCCATCATTTCAGGAGCAGATATTGTGGTTTTATTAGAGTTGATTAGAATCTTGTTTTTTCTCAACATACGGAGGAAAATACAACTAACCAGAGGCTTGTAGCGCCAACACCGCCCAGATCATAACCAAAGTCATCGCGCGCGTCATAGAGGCAGACATCCTCATGTTTTGGTGATCGTAAACGTGTAATATGTCGTTATACAGCAAGAATCAAAGCTTGAGGCCCAAGCGTAAGTAGCCTAGAGCGAAAAAGAAATTGAGTGGCTGAGGACGATAAACCCCAACACTCAGAGGCCAATTATACCAAGAGACGACAGAAGAAGAAAAAGCAAGGGATGGCGTAAAACCCGAGCGCGATGAGGTTTTAGTTATATGAAGCACCTCGGACGCAACGAGGTTGTGATGCTGAGCGGGCAGCCGTGCAACTCGGAGATATGAGGTGTTTCGCTTGGGTGATTTATCTGCGGGCGCGAAGTTTAGCGTAAGCTGAGCCTTGGGTGGAGCGGCACCAGTCACCAGTCACCTTGCTAATGTTTGAACAGCCAAGAGAGAAGGAGAAGTGCGGTTTTACAACCCCAGTACCAGTCAGAGTGTGGTGGGTGATGAAAGTGTATGAAGAAGCGAAAAGGAACACCAAGCAGACAGTCAGGCAGGAGGGAAACGACTGAGAATCTCCGTTATGCCCGTTGACGATTCAAACAGGAGCGAAACCCATTAGGCTGCGGAGGTTGCCCTGGACTGCAGGATAAGTAGGGGTCAGGGGTGGACTCTGTGTGGCTGAGGTGGGTCTCTGACTCTTTGGGACCTGTCATCCTGTAAATCCATTCCACTTCAATTCAATTCTCGTTCATGAATCCCAGTTGACGTGTTATTTTCAGAAAGAAAGGACATGGGCGGCGCAATGTATGGTATGAGGCATTCAATGATCGTTGAACGCGTTCAACGGCGAGTTCAAGGCATGTGTGCCGTTCAGATGCCTACCCTGCACACATGAGCTCACTGATATCGATTGATACACGCGACTTGGTGAGTTGCTAAAATCTTGATGTGGGCGCGTCCGAATCGGCTTGATGTGAACGAACCTCACGACGGGCTGTGATCTCGGCAAGCAACTTTGATCCGCATAGCCCTGCCCTTGGGACTTGTGGAAATCAAGTCCGCCTGACCGCAGATGCTCCCCTGCTCAAGTTGTCGACGTCGTGCTTCAGAATAATAAGTTATAGAAAATTCGACATATCAGACTCATTTATCTACATTTACTCTCATTCATTGATTGTATCGGGCCATGAATCCAGCGAGAATATATGTCAATGCCGCTCTCAATCCAACGGTCTCGACTCTCCATCTTCACAACTTCCGAACGCTATGAGGGCTTTGTGCGCGTCGAAAGGCCTATATTTAGATCAAGATCTTATCAATGATGCACAGTTTCAAATGTATGGTAAATACATATATTAATGGAACAAGTAAAGATCTAGGCTCAGCCTAGGAACCCAGCCTACTCATGGTGATAGGAATATGAGGAATGTATAGCATATCATATTAATCATACAAACGAATCTTGTAAATACACCCAACGCCCAGCATTAGTTGAAACGCTTTATGAGCTCTGTCATGCCTCAAAGCTCGCTGTGAGCAGAGAGAGTCGAATCAGAAAGTCCACAGCTGATTCGCGTTGAGCTCTTGGCACGTCCATGTCTGAATTGGAGTTCCATCGATCGTCGAGCCGGCCATAAGATCCATGCATTGAGCTGTACCCATCACGTCGATACGTCAGAATCAGAATAAGGGATAGATAATGAAATTGAGGAAGAAAAAGACGCACTAGACCCATCTAGCTGAAAATGTGTCTGATTCACATATGTCCAAGTCTGGGCTGGAGAATTGTCAATGCATTGCCATAGCTTGAGCGTAGTTCCTGAGTTGGGGACTATACGTCGTATCGTATCAAATTCAATTCAGTTTCAGGAGCTGTGAGAGTGAGGTACTCACCCGAACCCGCATCTAAACACATTTGTGTTCCTGCGAGCTTGATTGCCCCTTTGGTTCCATCGGCGGGGAATGTCCACCGCTGAGCGGCTGTGTTGTTACAGTCCCAGCTGTATACATGTTGTACGCGTTAAATTGAAGGAAAACAGCGAAGAATGCGTCGGAAGGAGTTAAACGTCGTGAAAGATGGAACGAATTGAAACGAGAGTGTGCAACGGAAGGCAACTCGAACGTTAGCATTAAGTCGACGTCGAAGAAATATGGAAACATTCAAAGACAACACGTACATTTGAACATTCGTTCCATTGGTAAATTGTCCACCTCGAACGTCAATGCATTTATTGGTATTAGAGCTTGGGTGGATAGAGAGCGAATCAGGGGGTGGAGGGAAGGTGCGCTCGGGGCAGAATCTACAGGTTAGGATTCACACATTTCAATCGCTGTCGTATCGCCAAATTATGAGATTAACATACACGATGCGATACCCACTCGCATCTGAGGGGCATTGAAATAGTGGCTGGGTGGGTGCTGTGTCGCCTGGAACAGGGAAACTGGCAGGAGGCTGGTTGAACACCGCGGGACAGGAGGTACTGTCGCATCCAATTGGTTCACAAAATGAGTTCTGTTCGTTCATCAATATCCGCCTTTAGAGGATACGGGTGGTAAAAGGAGAAAGAACGTACAGCCGGAGCTGCATTCGGTACAACCATAACACCCGTGTTGAAAGACGAAGCGTCTTTGACGATATAATAATAGTGAGCCTACAAAGAATCAGTATTCGCAATGTTCCAAAGTACTATATAGGACCAGTCAAGGCGAACATCACCAAAGAATCCAGCTCTCGTCGTCCCAGCTCCCGTGGAGCTGCCCCCATTCGCAGAGGTATAAATCAGACCCGACCAATTATCCGTAAAAGTGATATTGAGCATCCCATCTGGACTTAAGGTTCCTTGATTGACGCCATTGATGAAAGGTGAAATCGATTCCGGACATCGATTGACAATTGTGAAGAGTCGGCCTGCGAGTGATTGAGCGAACAGAGTGTTGAAGAACAGGGAGGTGAAGAGAATCGGGAGGAGCATGGTTAGCACGTGGACTTGAGGGTAACTTGCTGCGCACTCTGTAGGTCGGCGAATTGCTTTTAGACCTGAATTCTAAAGATATATAGAAGAGGTTGGATTTTGAAGATGGCTTTGATGGCGACGACTATCGCTAGTGGAGACGGTGGAGGAGACAAGAAGGCTCCAATGACCTCTTTGCAGTTAAGCCTCAAAGATGACATGCACCTGACACGCGATATGGATGTGGGCAAGGGTGGCTGATAGGGTATGGGAAACAGGGGCTAGGTAATTAACGGACAGGTTCGGACGTCCGAATACGCTAGGCACTCCCGCGGGTGGCCACTTTATCCTACGTAAGAAAGCCAACCAAAAAGATGAAACTTTTAGAATATCTGTATATAAGCTAGAAACTTGTCTGAACAGGAAATCTTTGTGGAAAATAAAAGCATAGCGAAAAGTAAACCCTTTTCTTCGCCGTTTGACAGCCACAATAGACCCAAAAAGGTAAAGGTGATGCCATCAATAAAGACTGTAAATAGGACTCCTTTTCCAGTAGCATTTGCGAAACAAAAAGGAACGCCATTTTTGGGCGACAAATACAATAAGAGTTGTTAACCTTATCTGTTTCTGTATATTTACAGGAATGGTTTACCATTTCGAGTCGCTTTCTGACCCCCAAAAAGTCTGCCTGCCAACTTTTGCAGCGAAGACTTTTTGACGATCAAGAAGCACTCCAAAAAGTCCATTCTTTTGTCAGACATCAAGAACAAAAATAGTATTCCTTTGCTCGATGTTGTTGTCCACAATAAGATTTAATCATATTAAAAGTCGTTTGGATTGGGTAAAGATATCCTTCTCTAGTTCTTTTTGTGGCCTATAATCAAACAATAAGGATATTCTTTTCGATAGCCAAGCAGATTACGAATACTTAACCTGTTCTTGGCATATCTGGGACTCAAAATGATAAACATTTTTATGCGTTTTCATTCAACAGAAAGCCTGGACATGTATTTAATCTTTCTTTTAATGCTTTCTAATGTGCTAAACAGGCATCACCTGCGGGAGTGAGGCCAGACTTCAGAGCCTCGAGGAGGTGTCGAGGACGTCGAGGGGAGACCAAAGGGGCACTCGGCCGGCCTCCTTCACGTGATTATGTCGGGCAAGATGGCCGAGCGGTTAAGGCGTGTGACTCAAGCTTACATAGGCTTGCCTGCTTTGAGCGGGTCTTCTCATAACGTAATGTTGCGTGGGTTCGAATCCCACTCTTGTCATTATTTTGCTGCTCTTCAAGTTCACCTTATCGTGTCGCGACTTCGCGTTTGATAATGGTCTGGTGTCAATGATGCTGCGTTGCGGCACAGTTTTCATAAAGGATGGCTAATTGGTTTAGTATCCATGCTATGTCTGTCGTTGAGGTTTCTGTAACAACGATGACAGGCATCGCCGACGCTTTTGGTGCATTTCGTATTTTATGACTGTGTAGAGGTCAGAAGGATTGATCTTCACGATGGTTTCCTCGACAAGTCGACGGATAATTGACAAGAAGGGATGCACCAGGATATTCCGGTGGTAACAAATGCCGACCAGCCGTCCAGAGAGGATTGTTGACGACCTTTGGCCACGCACGCAGCATTAGGGTCATTATGTATTATCATGCAGGGACCAACCAATTCAGTTCCTAGTTTCCCGCACGCAATTGTTCGGGATGGACAGCTATTAAAAGACGATGACAATCTTATTGCCTACCCCGTCTTCGACCTTTTCTCATCTGTGTCCTCGCTTTGTATCTATACCCACTTTCTTTCTAACGATGTCCGATAACTCTGTTCTGAATCAACCCATAGGCATCATTGGAACTGGTGTCGCCGGCCTGATCAATGCCTACGTACTCACTTCAGATGGGTATACGGATGTAACCCTCATCATGCGGGATGAGACGGTTGGTGGAACTTGGGCTAAAGAGCGCGTCTATCCAGGTCTTCACATTAATAGGTGCATGTTCCGAGGTTCGCTGTTGGAATCACGCTGACGATCATTGATTTTCGTTCTTCTCTTCCACCTTTTCAACTTCTCCATCGTGTTGCGATCATGCTATATCACATGCAGTGTACACAACGAGTACAGATTCTCTGCTCTTGCCATGCCACCCCCAGAAAATGCTGCCGAAAGCGGAGGACGACTCTCAGGGATGGACATGTGCAGATATATGGAACGATTTTACGAGATGTTTTTGAAGGAAAAAGCCAAGTTCATCTTCAAAACGAACGTATTGAACATCCATCGAGATGAGCCTGGAAAGTGGAAGGTCAAGGTTCAGGATAGAGAATCCCAGAAGGAGCGGGTGATGCAGTTTGCGAAGATTGTACTGGCTACTGGAGTATGTTCCTTCCTTGGCGCGACTCGCCTCACCATCTCTGATGATCCTCTCTCTCTCTCAGGGGTGCAGCAATCCCAATATCCCCGAAGCGATGTCGCAGGCGGCTGCAGACCGTGCTGGGTTCAAGGGCCTCGTTGTGCATTCCTCACAATTCGCCGCAAACCTTGATAGAATGCTAGAAGCGACCAACATTTCTGATGACTCGGAAGCAGACGACGTAGTTCTGGTCGTTGGTGGCGGCAAATCCGCGCAAGAGTACGTCCCTCCCTACATGTTCATTTTCAACAATAACTAAAGCGGAATGGTACCCATTAGTGCTGTCCGGAAGATGACACTTTCTGGGAGGAAGGTTGTGATGGTCTTTTCGCGAACTGATACGTTCTTCGCTTCGAAGAGTCCTGCACCCGATTTCATCAGGAAGAGTCGGTGTGTAATTCATCTCGGATTATGTTCGTTTCGAGCACTGAATTTAAATCATAAGTTTGGTTGGCATACTCGCTGGTCATTGTGATCTAAACAGTCGATTGGAGTGGGTCGCATTCTTCTACTCGTATCCCTATTTTTATATTCCCTTCTTTAGGCGATTCTTACACAAAACAACTCTCGGTGGGGCCATCACTCGCGCAATTTGGAGGTCGATGGAAAAGGAAGCTGTATGTTGTATGTTTCACCCAAACAGGACGGACGCTTACTTTATGCATAGTTCAAGGCATTCAAAATCCCTGAAGACTCTCCTCTGCGTCTAACTCACGACCTCTTTTGGGGTGTTCGAGCGAGTGATGAGGGTAATGTGAGCCCCGAATGCTTCCACGCATTGGCGATGGCGAGAGCATTTGAAGTAGTCGCGCCAGCACGCGCTACCGGGTACGCTGATGATGGGGAGAGCGTCCTATTGAGCACAGGGAGGACAATAAAGCCCAAAGTCGTGATCCTGTCGACGGGTTATCAGAGCTCATGGTCAAATATCTTTACACGTTCGTCCCCATTCCTCGGTTCTCCTTGGATATCGCTTACGTTTCGTGTTCGTTAGCTGAGATGGCGAAAGAACTCGGTATAGGTCGACATGAGCCGTTAACAAAAGTCAATCCGAAGTGGAACTACAAATCTTTCAAAGATCCGCCCAAGACTGATCCAGAACACGACAAATGGGTGACTTCCATCTATCGTGGCGTTGTTCCTGCGAAGAATATTCTCCACAGAGATTTCGCGATTGCTGGTGCACTGGTACGGTTTGCCAGCAAAGTTATGTATATTGAGCCTGGATAGGCAGCTAATACATTTGGGTTAGTTTACAGGTAGTCACGGCTATACCGATGAAGTAGCTGCACATTGGATTGCATCGTACTTCCGGGAAGATAAAATGCAACTGCCAACAACTGTTGATGAGGCGCTCGAGACTGCAGAGCGAGGAGCGGCCTGGATGAAGTTTCGCTACCCTGATAGCATATCGTGGATAAACGACAGTTATAGCACAAGTTTGGACTTCTGGACGTGAGCCTATTCTCTGATCTCAATCTGGCTGAACGAGTTTGATCAAGAGGTTATGCTTTCTAGATGGCCGCAAGCTGCTGACCAGTTATTGGATGACATGTATGTTCGGAGCGGGCGGAGTGGGGGGAATTGGTTGAATTGGGCTATCAAGGTCATTGATCTTAACGAGATTTCGACTCTGACAGCGGAGCGTCGTCAACTGCGGGAAGGAAAGACCTTGTGAGCAAAACTACATCTTGGTCAGAGTTCGGCATCGGTTATGAGATGAATGGCACCTTTAATTCAAACCAGTGATCAGTATGGCATGATTCAGCTTTTAATTCCAGTAGATATGTAAGGTTCAGTGCCTTTTATTGTGCAAAACTTCAATACCATAACCACTTTATAATGTTGAGGGAAGACCTATATGAAGGATGAAAGGAAGCTACGAAATCGAGTTCCGTGGTAGAGTACAGGCGATGAAGAGGATCTTCCAGAAACTCTTGAAAGATCCAATTGAGCACCTCCTTCCCATCCACTACCATCGGTGTGTAGTTCATGGCTTGAGAGCTGACACTAATTTTCACGCTCCGTAAACGTGGAAAGTCGTTGACTCGATCCTCCATCAAGACCTGATCCAGCCTTTCCCATTCCGTAAATGACGGTCTTGTCTCGCTGCTCAGCGCGTGGTGGGCATTTTCCATATGCAAGTGCAGATCCAACGTAATTTCCTCCACAATATTCTGCTTTTTCAAAGACTCCAGAGCATCGCACAATGAGCGGACGATGCTTTGATGACATTCTCCCACATTTGATTGGGATCCAAATCGAAAAGATACTTCGACGGCGATATGTTTCAGGGTTTTAAGTTGATTTTGGAAGCACGGCGTGAAGCTGAACGTTAGGTTAAATTCTAATAGAACCAGAGCGTCATAAAGGTGGACATCGGTCAATGACTAGGTGACCCACCTACCGTTGAGATTGATATCAATGGATAGAGTCTCTAGCCGCTGGACATGGTCAAAGACGTCATACACCTTATAAGACTGTATCTGGTCGGGATAAATATGGAACCGGAGAACCTGTAATGAAGGAAAAGCTTGGACGCCCTTTCTCTTTGCTGTGAATGACATGAGTAGCAGTGTGTCAAGGTCAACACGACCACACGCAGATGGTTGTACATTAGGACACCTCCTGGGAACTTGAATTGGGAGTCAAGGTGGATACCCCTGGAGCTGGCCGAGTTGAGTGAGGAGGGAGAATGGAAAGTCGCTGCCACGCCTCAATGTCAGGATACGAAGGTTTTGGGACCACCTTTGAACGCCGCTCAAATAAGAATCGACGTCTATTGGATCTGAAAAAGAAAAGAATTCGAGGTATAATGCTAGTAAGTATACTCGTAAAATTAAGAAGCGTCGGCCATAAGCCTAGAACCGGGGTCTTGACTGTTATCTGAATCTCTGCTAAACGTTCCAACCCAGTGAATTCGGACAGGGCCTGTGCTACAAGCGGGCAATACTCGCAGACGCCGTTATTAGAGCAGGTATGATGAACTTGGAGAGTAAGAGACTGCAAATTGAAAAAGTTGGCTTGGAGCCAGGGAGAACGTAAGGTGGCAGAGGAGTCCTATCTCAAATGGCCCATTCAACAAACCAATATGAGGTTAGGTATCGGCTGTTAACACGGCATACATACCCTGAGCGCAATACATGGTTAAGCATACCGACCGGAAGCTCAACTCGACGTGCACGGGAATCCCCCCATTTATAAGTGAGACTAGTACTGCGGATGTCACTCGATATATAGGGATATCGGGTAAGCAAATACACCACTTTCTGGGCTCCCAGGCCTGCATTCTGAGGTTCGCGGCGTTTGGCGGGAACACGGAAGGTCATATTTTGGTAGATGTATGAGTGGCAGATGGGTATAACGGTTTTAGATCTTAAGCAGCAACGTTGAGCGCGGATAAGTTTTCTGACTCCCCATCCTCATAGAGTTTCCTCGAGTATAAGACGAAGAATTTCGATAGGAAACACTGGATTTTGAATGAGAATGTCTTGATCCATCATGGGTATAAGAAAGTGTTGCCGATAAGGAAACCTGTAAGGAGTCAACAATGGTGAGAGGCAAGACTCGTGTATCTTGATATTTAAAGTATAGAAACTGAACACGGGCGTCGGGTAATTATTTCATGAGTGCGATTCTGCCCGATGGGTCAGTGGATAACGGTTGCGGTCAAGTCGGGCTCAAGGCAAAGAATAAAGCCCTCTGATTTAGATTATCGATGAAAATATCCACTTTTTCCTGCCTCTCCCGTCAAGTCGACATTATCGGAACGAATACTGATATGAGATATAGTATCTAGCCGATCTACCACACACTGTCGAAAAACGCACCGTTTTTGTGTATGAATTACTGCAACAC